TGGATTTAACAGGAAGCCAATGAAGGGAAGCCAAAACAGGAGAAATATGCTCTCTCTTTCTAGTCCCTGTCAGTGCTCTTGCTGCAGCATTTTGGATTAACTGAAGGCTTTTCAGTGAGTTTTTTGGACATCCTGATAATAATGAATAAAATAATTAATAATTAATAAAACCAGTGCTCTTGTCAGCGTGCGGTCTATGGGAGAAAGGAATGTGAAAAAAGCGAAATTTGTTGTCTCTTAAAATGCAAATATTGCATATAAAAATGCATGTCTGATGTGTGTAAATGGTACCTGGAATCTGTGCAGGTGACCAGGCCTCTGAGCCCGAATCAGGAGGAGACTCGGGCAGCATGCTGGGGGGGAAAAAACAAGACGAAGAGCAATTCTTATTCATATTTAATATAAATGTTTAATTGTGTTATGCATTTACAGCCTTCCCTTTGGTGATAACCAACCAGCTGAACACTGACTCAATGTTTGTTGTCTAACAGAATCTCCTCCAGGGAGAAATGATGATATTCATATTTACTTCTGCAGCTTCAGGATGAGCTGTTTCATGCAGCAAAATACGAGGAAACCTTCTGCACCTGGTAGTGAATTTTGTAACTGAGATATATTCAAATGATTATCAGGCAATTAAAATATTGAAATAAAGTCAGGACTGCATTTTATAGACCCTACATCATAACTGTAGGGTCATGACCCTAACAGGAGGAGAACTGAGTTCATGCTGTCAGACAGAAATAAAATCGGATAATTGTACCTCAAAGCCACTCTCAGAAAAATACGCAAAAAAGTACAAAATTAGAGAGGTATTAAAAAAAGGTTCCTATCCACATTAAAGGACATTTCAAATGTTTAAACCTTTTTTTTCACCTCCAAAAGAGCAACAGATGAAAAACATGATCTCAAAGTGTCGATGTGTCTTTGAGGGTGACTCTTACAAGCTGATGGGGTCCACATCGTTGCTGAGGTACTGCTCCAGCATGCTCGTGTCAACCGCGACAGAGCTGTCCAACACACCGCTCACATCCTGACCTGAACACACACACACACACACGCACACACACACACACACACACACGCACAGAGGAAATTATAATGACATTTTCACAGTCGTCACAAACACAAGCCAAATGTTAAAGAGTTCAGATTTTCACCTCCAGATTTTTATCCTTCCATTACAGTAGTTTTACATGATCCACAGTTCAAAATAAAAGCCATCCTTCAAGCCAGCCTTTGTCTGAAACAAGCCCGTCCTACAGTTTAAGCCATCTTTCTCTGATTGACAGCCCCTCATAAACAAGCAGAGCTGCGTGGCTGAAATAACCGTGTTAGGAATATCTGCTCTCTATGACTCTGATATAATCAGTGGTATTGAATAACATCCAGTTTCACACATGCTGCTATATTGGCCCACATAACATGAATGATAAAGTTCACCTACACACACACTGATCAATATTTTTTGATCTTATCAGCTTTGGGACAATATGGAACTAGATAAGGTACTGTACATGTGGCCAGTTAACCTACTGACAGTTGGTGGGTTTCTATTTTTAGGGTCAGACTAAAAGTGAAGGCTAAAATGAAATAAAACTCACAGATAACAATGAACTGCTCAGACTTTCAGGACTCTTTTAGATCATGGGAATGTTTCTGTAGAAATCCTTAAGAATTTCTGAACTGTCCTTATTGAGGATCTTAACTTCCCAGTAACTCATCCAAACCTTCTTCCAAGCTCATCTTTAGAAATCCATACAACCCTCTTAATAACAGGTTTATCAAGCGTTCCTGGAACTGTCACATTACCAACCTTAAAGTCACAAGAGAATTTTATCCTGCTTAAAGACATCAGCACTTTCACCGGAAAATCCTCAACCATCCTTACGGATTCTCACAGCACGACCCACCCCTTAAATCCAAACCTCAGGCTTTTACTCATTCTGTGATATTTGCAGGTGACGTGCTGCTAATGTTAGGAGGATATCCCACCATTGAAGAACTGCTGCAGTGCCTCGTTCTCTCCCAGGACCTGGGCTGGCAGCCGGCTGGCTTCAGGATCCATTCAGCACAGTAGGGGGCGCTGCAGCAGCGGAGCGCGGGATGAGGAGTAAGTCCAGCAGAGCTCTTCACACTGAGAATAAACAAAAAGGTACATTTTTATTGAATTATTATTATTTTTTACCAGCACACACAACAACAGGGCGATGATGAAAATGAAAAGATGTTAATAACCGCTGCATGTTGACGATGTTTGTGCAAAGCTTTTTTGGCCCACCGTCCAAGAAGGAGGAAGGGTACATACAGACTTACATACATGCATGCATCATTATAGTGAGATTAAAAAGACAAAATATGATCACAACATAAAATACTTGAGGCTGAGCTCAAACTGAAAAGCAGCAAAACCTGAAACACAGACTGTAAATAACCTGCTTTTTGGAGCGTTTTGGTTGTCGCCATGTTGGTGTTTGGAGCTAGAAATGACTTGACTTGGAAGAGAGGATGCAATGCCACACTAGGAGCTACTGGTGGACTGCTTGGTTAGTGATCTGCATACATGAATGTTATGATTGCCATCAAAGACAGAAGAAAAGGCAGATTGTTTACTTGTTTACCACACACATAGATCCTGCCGCACAGATTAACCACACAGCAAGGGAGTTTAGTTAACTGCACCATTCAGTGTGAAAAGGCAGCTGTGGCTCAGGAGGTAAAGCAAATGACCTGCCAGCAGAAGGTCAGATCCTGAACACCAAATTGCTCTTGATGCTTGTCTGCGTGTGTTTGAGAGCCCATTAAGTATAACTGTGTGTCAGTGGGTGAATGTAGTTAAACGTGCTTTAACTGCTCAGGGTAGAAACTTTCTTTACATTTAACAAAACACACCATCGTTCCCAACTTTAACCTTTATCTGTATTTGTTGTCTGAATCACAGAAGCCTGGTTCTGCTTGATGTTATTTCCTGTAAAAAGGGAGTTTTTCCTTCCCACTGTTGCCAAGTGCTCATAGTTTTCTCTGCATTATTGTATAGTCTTTTATAAAAAGCACGGTGAGGTGACTGTTGCTGTGATTAAGTGCTGTATAACTGAAACTGAATTGAATTCAAGCTGTCTGCTTTAACCTGTTTTTTGTTTTGAAGATGGACAGCTGCTCCATCTAATCACCTGCAGGGAAAAGGCCTTCTTAGAGAAAGCCTATACACAAATACAACATACATCCATTTATGATTGCTGTAATTATGTATTTATAATTTCAGTTCATTCATCAACTTACTCTGAAAATGGTTAAAAGCAGAAAACTGAGAACACACTTGATTTGTTTTTATTGGTAATGTGTGTCTGACGACACCTGCAGTCAATAAATCACCTGAAATGTCCTGTTTAAACAGCTCTGCTGAATTCAAGCTGTCTGCTTTAACCTCCTGAGCCACTCAGATCTGCTGGGACATGTTTGTTCAAACACACCTGTCTGCAAGATGGCCGCCAGTCAGCGGTGATTTCAGACTTTATCCAAGCTGCTGTCGTCAGGTACAATCCATGTGTAAGGACGGATTCAGTTTTCCATGTTTCAGATCCTCAAAGACTCCCCAAAGTGTCCACTGTTCCTCGTCTTTCTCTGTGTGTGCAGCCGAGGGAAATCCCTCCTTTAAAGAATAAAAATGCTTTCTTGTGGTTGTATGCGGTGCTGTGTGGATTGTCTCTGTCTGTCAGCTGGACTTTGAGCTTTGAACAGGAAGAGGCAAGAGGCATTCGCACACCTGACAGAGGCGGACATCCATAAACCAGCCAGTCATATTCTGGAAGCACACGCATGCCGAGCCTCTCTGTAAATGTTGCTGTATTCTTTCTCCTCATCACCTCGTGATGTTTCACAGGAGGAATAAAAAAAGTGTTAACAAGCTGAATGAAAGCATCCACACACCAGAGGCTGCTGTTTCTGTCTTTGCTGTGCAGAAATTCGAGTTCGCATTTATACATCTGTGAAGCTGAGGGTGTAATGTGTGATTAAGTGGTTCATGTGAGTTTCAAACAATTACATTTCTGTACTCTGATAAATATTCCCTCCGACACATCACACGTGATCTGTTTATTGGCTGTTTGGCTTCAAACGTCAGATTCAGACCGCAAAGAGTCGATAATTCAGGGGTTTGTGGGGCGTGGTGGTGGTGTGACTGTACCTGCAGGCAGAAATGTGTCACATATGTAGTTCAGACAAATTTGTCTGAGTTACATAATCTGTAACCTATAGCCTATAGCAAAAAGGGTATTTTACATGCTTCTCTTTTAAATTTATCCTGAATAGCCCATTATCTATTTCCTCATGACACTTTCTCTACTGTCAGTCTGCCAAGTTAACTACAGCCCTCTGACTCCAGCCACACTTCAGTTGATGACTCTTAAACACTGTTTACATGTTGTACACATAATGTCAAAGCTGTGATTTCTTCTCATTTTGCTGATAGATTTAGTTCATTTTAGGAATTTTAAAACTATTTAAAAACACAGAGATTTGCAGTAAATTCCCTAAAGAAAGCTGGTTTAAAACATCAAGATCACCATTCAGATTAAATTTCTTTCAGGGAAGATCCAAAACCTCTTCGGTGGTCACCAGCAGGATTTATTTAAAGAAAAACAAAACCGTAAATCTCTGAAATATCATCCTGCTTCTTTTTGTGTAAATAACCTCAAATTTGCAGGAAAATCCTGCAGCTGTGGCTTGGGCTGCCTGCTGATGCTAATACTTAAGCAGTGAGTCCTTGGTCCAGTGCCTGGCTGACCCTCCTTTACTGAATGTTAAAGAATTGAATGTTAAAGAACAGGGAAACCTTCAACCACACAGTACTTTTGAGCTCATGTTGTGTCATTGTTTGACCAGCAGGTGGCAGTAGAGACTGAACTGTCATCAGTCTGATAATGATAAAATGGAGTAATGACGTTTTTAACCTAATAAATAATTACATATATAGCAAATGCTTCACATCAGTTGATCAGTGCCTCTCCATCTGGCCAGCAGGTGGTGCTGCAGGACTGCAAATTGCTCAGTCAAACTGTGGCTTCACAGGCTGACAAGTCAACCATAAGGGGTCCCAAACACAAAAAAAGTGAACACATGAAGACAATAAAAGAGCAGTTTTGATGCTGCCCTGTAACTGGAAAAGTTTTTCCAAAAGAATTATGATAAATGTCACACACAGGCACAACAAAAATATGGTCACAGTAGGAAACTGCTTCACAATCTAAAGGAAAGTGACACATTAAAGATATTAAAGACGTGTACACACATACGAGTTGTGAAGCAGCCAGTAGTAAAAGACACATTCCCAGAATAAACTAAAATGAGTACGGTGTTTAAGAACAGGCAGGCCTATGAAAACGAGCTTTCACATGATTAAAGCAAACCACAGATTAAACTGAACTGACGTGCTGAGGAATTTAAAACTGCATTATTTCCAATGACCAGTGGAGGGCAACTGCTCTGAGTGCAAAGAGAAAATGGCCGTCGGCTCTTTGGATTTCTGACCTCAGCATTCAGTTTCCTCATGAGCGCATTAGCTCACTTGCTCGTGTATGCAACATGATTTTTGTTTAGTAAAATACAAAAATATCAAAGTGTTAGTCAATCAGTGTGAAGTATGAGATTCATGCCATCAAGTCCAGTTTTAAAATGTTAAAATACTAAAAAGGTGATGCCATCTTTTATATACAGTCTGTCCTCTACTTTAAACTTTGGAGCTGTGGAGGTCTCAGTAACAAAAAAGAAGTATTAGTGTTATTATGTCAATTACTTCTACTTAATTATGTGACCTTTAAGCCTTAAATGTGGAGATTGAAATGTAATCAGTAGAAATCCATCAGAGAAGCAGCAGACACACCTATTTTTGCTAGAGGCGAAAGATCTACTCGGGTTTGTTTGTAAGCCATCGACTGGGATCGTTAAACAAATTCACCTCAGCCACAGTTCACGATGAGTCAGTGCTCCGGTACTTTGTGGTTTGTTCTGGGTAATTGTGCGATTGTTTTAAGAAATAATCAGTGTGACTCACGTCACTCTGGTTTTCTTCACCCGATGGGTTTGAGTTCCAAAGCAGATAGGAAAAAAAGAAAGTTTCTAACAGCTGACTCACACAGAAAACTTTAATGAAACACAAAATGCTCTCATTGGTGAGCTTGTAGGAACACAAAGTGCGTCACCAGCACAGATTCAGAACTTCTGCATCAAAAGACTTAATGTCAATAAATCAGATCACCATGAAAACTGACAACATTCTGACACATTTTTAGTTTTTTTGAAATTTTGACTTTAAATCTGCAAATGAGGCTTCGTTTATTTAAATGTCCACACATCTGCAGAGTTTTCCAGAGCAGAAATCCCAACACTGGACGAATGCAGTCTTAAAATTATTGATCTCTTTTCATAATCTGGTGGACCCAAAAATACATACATACACACAGTTTAGTATCTATCTTATGACAAACCCATAGGGCCAACTCCATCTCCACCCTACCCAGCTGAGTCACAATTAAGACTGTTAAAGTGTGTGTTAATTAAGAGGTAGTCTTGTTTTTGCAACCAAAGCAGGAACTTCCAATCAGAATCTCTATGTAGCTGATCCATCATCCTGTTCTGCACCAGTGCAGAAAGCAAGGTCCATAAAGACATGGATGAGCAACTTTGGTGTGAGGCCTGAGTCCTGACCTCTGTGAGTACTGCAGGTGATTTGTATCAAGTAGCAGGTGTGGGAGCTATTGGGGATCCAACAGGAATCAGTGAGTAGACAAACCTCTGAGAAAACTGTACACGTGGTAATGACTAGAAGAAAGAGAGAATCCAGAGACGAGATGTATGTATGTATATATATATATATATGTATATATGTATTGTAGGGCAAATGTGATTGTGCTCAAATTTACAACATCCCATAATCACTGTCCATTAGATCAGAAGCAAAATAGACTAGCTACAACCACCAAACAATGAAAAATTATGAACAAATGATACAAAACAATACAAAATGACCAAAACATGATAAAATTATCTCAAATGAAATAAAAACAATCACCAAGAAAA